GATATTTGATTTTCACCCAGTCTGAAACTCATGGGGAGTTTCTCATCTGAAGAAGAAATAGACGAGTTCTGAAGAACAAGAGAAAATGCTTCAAGAAGACTCTGAAGTTATATGACTCTGATACAATGTTTAGAGAAAATAAGTTCTAAAGATATGAAGATGGAAGTTCTGCTGAACTAGTCTAGATGCTGAAGACTTATGCTCTCTTATATCGTAGGGAAGTATTCCTTCTGTTCTATTTGATTGTGTTTTATCAAATTTATATTTTGTAAGTCTTGGGATCAGAGTATGTCTCTGAACAATCATAAAAATGTTTTTAAAAGGTTAACACATTCAGGGGAAGCAGTTGCTTAGAACTCTGAATATGTTCATGCTTGGTGATTACCCTGTATAAAATGTTCTATCAAAATACATGTTTTTTTCATCATCAAAAAGGGGGAGATTGTAAGAGCAAGATTTGTCTCTACAAGATTATCTCTATGTTTTGATGATAACAATTAAGTATTTGTGAAAGAACTATTTTATGGTTTAATGTTTGTTATGTGCAGGTCATGTTAAATTAAATACATAAGATCAAACAAACAAAAGCAACATGTGCAACTTGTATATATGGAGTTACTATGTGTGACATCATGAAGCGCTTAGTGGAGAAGCTAGTTTGCTTATGTATATGATCACGTTCAGTAAAGAACCAAGGATGCTGGATATTGCTGTTGCAATGCTCCTATGGATTCTGCTCTAAAGAAGTGAATCTGATCTGAAATCAAATGAAGCTTAAAGGAGAAGCAAGTTTGTTTTTGTATCTGATCATGTTTAGTAAAGAACCAAGGATGCTGGATACTGTTGTTGCAATGCTCCTGTGGATTCTGCTCTGAGTTGTGCATTTGATTTGGAAGCTAACGAGCGTCTCTGAAGAGTGAGTCCTCTAAAGAACAAAGCTCTGAAGACTCTAAAGACATGTTTTGAAGGTCAAGACTCTGAAGACGGGTTCTGAAGGTCAAGACTCTGAAGACGTGTTATGAAGGTCAAGGCTGTGAAGATTCTGAAGACATGATATCTGAAGAATTAGTCATGAAGACTCTCAAGATTGTTTCAGAGGAAACTTAGTTCTTGGAATGCTGAAGACTGGATTCTGAAGTGGAAGATTGTGTCAGAAGAAGATTCATCCAGATGAAGACATGTTACATCAGATAAGCTGCTGTTGTTCAATCTGATAAACATGTGCTTGAGTTAATAACTCTGATGCTGAAGCTTTCATACCAAAGTAGTTCTGAACTACTCATCAGATGAATCATCCAAAGAATCAAGAAGACTGAAGTACAACGTATGCAATTATTCAAATATGGTAAAGACATTGGTACTGTTCAAGTGTGGTTTCCAAGGATTAAATATATTGAAGCTACAAGCTAAGGTCACTGTTCCAACACATGAGCTTATTCTATCCGTTGGGATATGACCGTTGGAATGAGAAATGACAACTATATCCTCACAACAACTCTATTGGATGCAATATAAAAAGAAGAATCATTTGATCATTCAAATGTTGCTAGGTTGCTGAGTCAAACAACACTGTTGTTATTAAGCTGCTCTATAAGAAATAACATTTGATTCATTCAAATGTTACCATGCTAGTAAGCATGAAGTGAAGAAAGAAAGAAAGAAGAAAAGCTTAAATGAAAAGAAGCCTTAGTGCTCACACACAGAAAATCTTTTAAGCAATATGGAAACTATGTTCTTATAATCTCTTAGAGATTCATCATTAGATTAGTTTCTATATTAGGAAGCAAGGAGTTGTTGCTCAATACTTGCTATGTGCTTAATTAGGAGTAATACGCTTGATAAGAAGCACTCATGTAATCTCCGGCAACACAACATTCTAATTTAGAATTAGTGGGTTCCTCAAGTGATCTTGTGAAGATCAGTATACTTGAGATGATAAGTGACAATAGTCATTTGTGGAAATCCTAATAGGAGATCTTTAGTGATCGGATTCTATTAAGGTGTCAATGAACGTTATATCCTTGGGGATCCCTGAACGTGTCATTGATCAGTTGTTAGTCACTCGCGGTTAGCTTGTGCATATCTGTAATCAATTTGTTATAGTGGATTAAGTCCTTGCTTTAGTGAGGCGAAATCACCTTGGAAGGGTGAACTGAATTAGCTTGAGAGTTGCTCAAGTGAACCAGGATATATGTTGTGTTCTTTACTTATAGTATGCTTTATTATTATGCTTCCGCAATGCATTTGATATGAGCGCTTAAAGCAACAAGTGAAGAAGAAGATAAGAAAAGAAAAAAGTTTTTATTAAGGCATAAACCCAATTTAATCCCCCCCTTTCTTGTGTTTATTTCACACCTTCACCTTATACTCATACCAATGTTGGAACATGTTGACAAAAGACTAAGCAACACAATAAATTTAAGAGGGAACAATCTGTAAATGCTTGAGCACCCGTTTTTTGAACTTGGAGAAAGGGAATCTCAACTTCAGTCTTTGGAACAAACACTCGTAGACTGAGATGGAGCACCCCATGAACAAGTTGTCAATTCTTCTATGATCATTAATGGGAGAAACATACTAGTCAAATGACAGACCTACGTTCATGAAGGAACTTTCAATGCTAGCAACAATGTTGAAGCTAAAAATTATTACCTAGATTTCTGAGTCTACCCATTGGTACTGAGTGACATTTAACATATCTATCTGGTATTTTTGGTGCACCATAGTTTCTTGGCTTCCATGGGAAAAACTTCTATAAGTAGTGATAGAAGGATTGTAAAATCAGTATGAACTCTAGCCTCTACATTGGTAAGAACCCTACTGGTCGTCGCCCCAACAAACTTAATAGAGCAATAAACTTGAAACTCTTCCTAGGCAGCCAAAGCAACATCCAAATTTGAATAAGCTCGAGTAAGGGAGATAATGGAAGCAATGACTTTCCCTTGACTTAGGATCATTATCGCCTTTTGCAGAATCTAAACCAGACTTAGGGTTGTAGCTAAGAACATTTGGGTCATGGACAAGATGATTAACCTCTAAAGGGTTGCCATAAAAAGTCTTTACAAAGTCTAGGTGATCCACCTCCATCGTCAAAGTCACTTGACTCATTTACAGGGTCATCCCTCAAGTTATCCATTACAATGAAAAGAGAAAGGTGCATGATATAGGTAAGGAAGCATAAAGATACACGGGAAGAAGAAAATGGGTCGAAAAAACATAATAGTAAGCGAGACCAAAGGACACAGTGGCTCAGGAGATACAAACCCTATATCGGTGAAACAACAAGAAAAACAAGGGTCACCAAAGTGCATTAGAGAGTAAAGTCGCGAAATGACTGTGGATTCCAGGGAACAATGAGGGCGAGAATTTCTTATGAAAGACAAATTGTCATATATGAAAAGGTGAACTAAGTAAGCAACAACCCAGATGAAAAAAAATTGTGAAGAGGAAAAATAACAACCATATCTCACCTCGAAAGTACCGCAACACTCAAGTGTACTCAAGTATCGTGGAGATAGTGGCATGCCCTAACCTGCCCGCCTAGGGGCACTTGTGTAAAATTCACGCGAATCACCTTAATTATGAGAAAGACATTTAATGAGTTTGGTCCCCACTCCTGGTCAATCTAATACTTTTAGTCTCTCTCAAAAACAACTTGACAATATTATATCGACATAGATTTTGGAAGATTTGTTGTTCAAGACTTAACGGTAAGCCTTGGAGGAAAGTGTTCTAGATCGACAAAATGCCCAATATATGAAGACCCATTTGTTACTCCTAAAAAGGTCCGACAACAAACTCAATCCATTGGTATAAATACTTCTACACATGCAATGTAAAAGGGACACATATTTTTCCACACTTTTACTTTAACTCTTTTTTAAACTCACAAACTGACTTGAACGTTTAAATGTAAACTTTTTAGACCCCCCTCTACGATCCTTGTAAAACTCAAAGATTTTTTTTTATTAAAAACAATTCTAAAATACCGGAATAACTTTTCTCTAGAAGGCAACAATTATAATATTATTTCGAGTTTGAAGTCGAGAAGTGAATATTTTTTCAAAGTGTGACACAATTTCTTTTTGTTGAGTATAGCAAGTGTGAGCAGTATGTGTTATAGTCTCACATTGACTAAAAATATAGAGATTTGAACATGTGTTATAGTCTCACATTGACTAAAAATATAGAGATTTGAACATTTATAAGTGTAAGAACCAACACACCTATCACCTTAAAGTTTTAAATGAATATATAGTGTATCTCTCACAAAAATGTTGCTCTAAAAGAAATCTCACGATGTTCAATGCTCCCTAATTAAAAAAAACTCTCCATATCTTCATCAATTGATTTTATCAAGATACATATGGACCTTGATACAATGGTATCAAAATCTCATGCTAGTTCTCAAATATTTTATTTGAATCTAACTTGTATTACTCACTTTATTCATAATAAAATGAAATAACTAGTTATAATCGGAACAAAAAAACTATTTGTTAAAAAAATGATTAATTTTTTCTTCTTCCAAAATTAATAATTTTACTAAGAATTCTATATAAGATCATGTTCTTGTATTTTTCTTCTTCCAAATTTCTTCTCAAAAAACTCTTTCTACTTTCTAGTGCCCCACACATTAGAAACAAGATTATATTCTTGTGGTGGTGAGTGATTGGGCACAAAAAATATTTCATTAAAATCATAAAGCTACTTTGTTCCATCTGATTGATAGCATGTGCACACATAAACATGCAGTTTTGAGTTATCAATTGTCACGCCCCACATTGAAACACATGAACTATTTTTCTTGGTCCAAACACTCTCTACATGGGAATAGTCCTAAAACAGTAACTGCATCACTTTCTCACTTTCACTTCTTACCTAAACTAAACTAACAACACTATTGAAAAATCATATATATATTTATTTATTTATTTATTTTAAATATAACCATTAATACAAACATAACCAAATTGAAAATGAAAAATAAAATAAAATCTCTAAAGAGGTCTGTGTCTTTTATGACTTAGGTTTCCTTCTGATTTTGCAGCACCACTTGAATCTCCTTCTGAAGAAACATCAATGGATTTGGTGAAGGAAGATGAAAGGTCAGCATAAAGATCAACAACTCTTCTTATATTGTTGTTGAGTTCCTTTATAAGACCAACATTCCTGCTGAGGTTGTCTGGGATTCTAGACTCATGATTCTGGTTTATCTCGTTGATGAGCACTCGATTCTGATCCAGAATGTTCTGGACTTGAACAAAGCTCTTTTGAAATGTTTGTAAGATCTTGCCTTCATTTTGGGTTCCATTGACATGGCTTGAGTATGTATCACCCTCCATTTTTCTTTTTCAATTCTGAGATAAAATAAAATCAAAAAAATCCGTAGTTGTTCAGTGATAATTGATACTGAATTTGATAGAAAGAACTACGGTTTGAATGAGGATTAAAACCTCTTAATCCGGTGGACCAAATATGAGTTGTAAAAAACGAAAATAGGAAAAAAAAATTATTTTTTAAATTTATTCATAATAATATTCTTGTATTTGTACTTGTTTGCATTAATAAAAGAAATGGACAAAACATTAAGAACTTTAGAATTGTTTAATTGAAGGGCTTGAATAGATGAGACAAGCTCTGAGGGATAAAATCATGACCAACATGAGTTTCTTTTTCAGAGAAATCAGATTATAAGCATGAATCATGATTGTTTTGTCATTTTTATTCTAATTGAGTAAGTTACACTGTGAGGCACTTTATAAAGCGGCACACCGTGGATACTACTTAAGAAATTAATTTTTATGTAATAAAAATATGCATCCACAATATAAATAAATTTAAGCGATCTTTGTATCAGAATTATATTTTAAAAAAATTTTAAATTTTAGTATATTATAATTCAATTCCTTATAAAAATATGAATTAAAAAAATTAAATAAAGAAAATTAAAATTTTACTATTAATAGTCAGGTCAACTCATAGTCTATACAGCAGTTTCTCAAAATATGTTAATATATTTTTGTATAAAAAATAAATTTTATAAATTATGCTAAATTATCAGAATTCAAAAGAGAAAATAATAATAAATATTTAAAGTATAATACGAGAAATTAAATGAGTATTTATAAGAAAAAATATTGAATATAAATATTTAAAAAATAACACAATTTTTAATAAAATGATTTATATGTAGGAGAAAAAAGAGTATATTTTTAATGATGAGATTGGAAAAAGCAGATCTCATTTCCATAAAAAGAACCTTTTTTTATTGTACTCATCGAATACCTACCTAAAGCACAGAGTTCAAAAGAAGAATCTTAAAAAATTAAAAAAAAAAAAAAAAAAAAAAAACTGTAATGATACATAAAAGAGATGAGGTTGAGAAGTAACTATTGCAGAAAATATATATATATATATATATATATATATATATATATATATATATATATATATATATATATATATATATATATATATATTTCTCAGCAAAATTACGAAAAAAACAAAAATAATACTAGTAACAGTCCAAATTGTCCAAATCCCGCAAACAACGCATACATTGAACAACACCAACAACCTATTTAATAATGTTTTTATTGGATTACTTTAAATTCATGAAAATCCAAAAGAAATCATACTAATAATAATATCAAGCAATTAAAATGTTAAAATAAAACTGTAGTTTTAGAATTTCCAAGAGCATAAAATTCCATTGAGTAAAAAACAGAAACTGGTCAAAGAAAAACAAAAGAACCCATAAAGCTGATAAAAACCAATGTCTGTGAAACTGAGATAAAGAACTGAATCATGAACAAAGAGAAGAAACAAATAATAGAGAAAAAAATTCATATTTTATTGATGATAATAATTAAGTAATAAGTATTAGTAGTAGGAGAAGTTATTGTATGAATGAAGAATCGTACCTTGAAAATCTGAAACATTTATATGAGAAGAGAGAGAGGTTGAAGAGGAAGAGAGAGGGGGGTTTGAGAGAAATAAAGATCGGCGATTTAATCGAATCTGTTTGAGAAAAAGATCTGTCCTGTGAATTCAGAGAGAGAATATGTAGATTTGACAGTCCCCCTAAGACTTTATTTTTTTATGTTAGTTAGTCACTAAATTTAGGATATGTTTATTAAATTAAGAAAAGAAAAATTAATGATGACAATAAATTTTGGATATTAAATTTATTATTATATGCATTATACAATGAATGTAGTAAGACTCTTTTTTATTTAAAATAGATTAATTAGGTAAATGTGAGAGAGATATAAAATATATGAATTTTAAATAGGAGGATTAATTAGATAAATATAATAAAAAATAGAAATGATTATTATGTAAAATTGTTATTATTATTTTAAATAATTTGAAGAAATTGTTATTATCATTTTTTAGAATTTAATTGAAATATATTAACAATGTAAAAAGATTTTACAGTATTAGTTTATCATAGACGTTAGAAATTAGAAGAAATTTAACTTTTATTTTAATAATTTATACAATATTACTAATAGATGATGAAGAATTGACAGGATAAAACTTTTTATAATAATAATGTATGATAATTAATCTCTTTTTTTAATCTTTTAAAATAATAAATAAATACCAGAAGAGATATTTAATATGTCTACTTAAACTATCTCAATTAGTAACTAAGAGTAGGAATACATCATGTCTCTGAAAAGGGGTGTACAATCTAATCTACCTATATTTATTTTTAAAATAAAATAAAAGTCAAGGTTTTTTTAGTCTATTTAATAAAAAAAAAGCTAGTCTTATTTAAGTAAATATAAATAATATTATTATTATTATATATTGTACATTACTTCAAATTAAAAAATTTAAGTATTTCCCAAATTGACTTGGGAAATTTCTCTGCTAGGGTTTGCTTTAGGGCAGGATTAGGGTCTAAAAAAGGTTTAACTATATTTTGTGAAGCTTGATCTCCATTGATTCTCAAGACATCTTCCAATGGTTTTTACCATCAGATATTATTCTATTAATTTTCAGAGGGTTCAGATGATATTGTGTTGATTGTCTTATCTATTAATATTCAGAAAGGCTCAGCTCCTGTGAAGCTTGATCTCCGTTAATTCTCAAAACATCTTCCAGTTGTTTTTACCATCAGATACTGCTTTGTTAATTCTCAGAGGATTCTGATGATATTGTGTTTAATATCTTAGCTATTAATTCTCATTAAGGTTCAACTATCCTCCGCGAAGTATTGTTTTTCGTCAATTCTCGGGGCATCTTCTGGTTGTTATGAAATCATTTGAGGCTTTGCTTTTTTAATTCTCAGGGAACCTTGTTTTTCTTTTGTGGAATGATTGTTCTATTTATTCTTAGAGGATATCCCGTTTGTTACCCACCAATTATCCCAAAGCTATACTTTTAGCATCGTTCCTATTTATCATTCATATTTATTCTCGGTAGAAAGTTTCCATGTATGTATCAAAGGATATTTCGATGAAGCAAAGTTGAAATTTGGCTCTTTTGATTCTCGGAGAAAGCTTTCAAATAATGGTTAGTTGAAGGCCCACTTCATTAGTTCTTGGAGGATCTTTTAATCAGTTGTTAAATGCTATCTGTTAATCCACAAAAAAAGGGTTTCGATGATGTCTAGTCAAATTTTTATGTGATAGGTCTGAGGGAATCTTTTGATGGTTATCCTTTTGTATTCCATCTATTAAAAATCAAAAAGTGTCTTTTAATATGGCTATTTGAAAGCCTTCTCGGTTAACTTTCATGGAACTTTAAGAATGATAATTAATGGGAAGATCACCTCATTAGCTCTTGAAGGAACTTTTCGATGATTGTTATTTAAAATTTTGCCTTGATGGTTCGTGAAGAATCTTTCAATGATTGTCAGTGCCATGTTTTATATTTCAAAGAGTATGTCTGTACTTGCTTAAGTTGAAGGTTTTCTTGATCAATTCTCGAATGACCATTCATATAGAGATTGTGTGCAAGGAATTTTGATTAAATCTCCAGAGGTCTTGCGTTGATCGTTATCTTGAAAGGTGTTGTTGATAATCCCCAGGAAATACTTCCAATGATTGCAAGTCGTTTAGTTTCTTGTCATGCATATTTTAACAAAAACCCTAAACGAAATATCACTTCATCCTCATGTACTAAGATGAAAGGATTCTCGATAGTTCTTAGAGGATCTTTTGAATAACAATTAGCAAACAAATCGCTTTGTTAGTTCTTGGAGGATCTTTCGATATTTTGTTAGTTGTAAGTTTGTTTCTGTTAATTCTGAGGATTTCTTTTTGTATTTGACATTTGAACATGTTTGTTGTTAATTTTCAATGATTTCTTACGAGGACTATCGGCTGAAAGTTTACTTCATTAGCTCTTAGAGGAAATTTCAACGTGTAGAGCTCAATAGTGGTCTTTGTTAAGTCTCAAGTGATGAGTCCAAGCCTTTGTGGTTGGCATCAATTTTGGTAAAACTAACTTGTCAGCAAGATGTTGGACAAGATGCCCTATCATGGTGACGAGCTAACTGAAGATCAAGATATTGGACAAGATGTCCTATCATAATGGTTCAACATCTTTGTCTGTTATTTTTCAGTTTTTAATTCTGCTATTCTAGTTGTTAGATTATTCTGGGATTATTTGTTTTTCCTAGGTGGCGTCCAAGATTGAGAAATTAAAGATTTTGATTATAATTTGAAGATGTTGTTTATAAGTATGGAGACACTTTAGGAAACTTAGGATTGAAGAAGCTATTCTAGAAGACAATTTGTTGCAGATTTTGTGGAACAAAATTGCTGCATTTTTGAAGCCCAAATCCAGTTTACTTTATGGTTATAAATAAGATGGATTTAACCTAATCAAATTGTGGAATTTTCTCTGTTGGTTAGTGTGTACTAGGGGTGGTACTTTATGATCCTCTCTTGTATTGTGTTGATACTAGACCTGGACAGTTTACATTGAGTTGTAATTTCAGTCACTGCTATGATTGAAAGGGAATTGAGAAGGGTTTCATACCTAGGAAGAGTCTTAGGTAGAAATTAAGAAAGGGTTTTGATTAAGTGATAAGTTGGAAAACAGAGGTTGTTTTTCTTAGAATTAATATTATCTAGTGAATTTCATTCTTGGCTTAGAAGCCCCCGGACGTAGGTGTTATTGTTCACCGAACTGTGTTAACAATTATGTATGTTGTTTACTTTCTGCAACTTATATTTTGTTCTTTATTGTCATTGTGTTTGAAGCAAAGATCAAGTGTCTCGACATCTCTTGGGACATCTGAGATCTGCTACCAGAATTTCAATTGGCATCAGAGCAGACATCCTGCTCTGCATTTGGGTGAGATTCAGGGAAGATACTTTCT